CTTCATCTGTAAGAGAATGTTACAGCCTTTATAGAGTAGTGAAGATTAATGAGAGAACATTTATTTGCAAGGCACACAGCACAGCGCTCTGCAGGGCACTTGGCATGCACTCCAAAAAGTTATCGAACCTTCCTGTCACCTTGCCTTGCAAGTAGAAACCAAGCCGAGTTCGTTCTGCATTATGTCACTTACCATAGTGTTTTGCATGAAGACAGGCTCAATAAATGTCTGAGAGTAAATGGGCCAATTCCCACCATTCAATATTCAAATCTGAATCCTCTGTGCTTTGCCCCCTTTCTCCCATTTCTTTCATTGAACCTTTTCTTCCTGGAACAATTTTCTTAATTTTATTCCCCTTGCCAGCTGCCTCCTCTTCTGAAATTTAACTTGCAGTATCATTGAAGCTGAGTACAAAGAGAACCAAAGACACCACCTATGGCAGTCCCGAGGTGAATGTGAACCATTGAAGGAAATGAGTGTCTACAGTCTGTGAGCATAGCCCGTCCCATCTTAGTGAGAGCCACAAAAAGTAATTAAAGTACTTAAAGGAATGAGAAAAGGGAGATTTTCAAAAACCCTGATTGCAGACTGAGTTATTTAACACAGTTCAGCAACTCTGGTCTGAGGAATTTTCACCTGTAGAGGACCCAGGCCACCATCAGGACCAAAGATTCCAGGTTGGTGGGGCGACCCCCTGGGATGTGGAGCCTGCAGGGGGCCACAACTGGGTGGAGAAAAGGAAACAATGTGATCACTTGGCCGAATGGTAAGTCCAACCCATTTCACAGGCACTCAGCCTGTACTCAGCCTGCTCTGGTAAAGCCCAGCTGAGGTGCCTGCAGCAGGGCAAGCACAGGTGAGGGAAGGTGTGACTGCCAGCCCACCTGAAGATGTGAAGCTGGGTGTGTACAGAACTGCTGGCTTTTACCTTAGGCCTGGGACAATAGGGAATGTGAAAAGCAAGGGGTGGGTGTGTGTGTGTGTGTGTGTGTGTCTTGGGTCCAGCTGCAGTACCACCATCTGAAACCCCCTGAAACCCTGGGCCACCCTCCGAATCTGCTCGAGGGCAAGCCTGGGAGCGTCAGGGGGAGGAAGGTGGAGACACGGGTGTCTTAGAAGGCAGGGACTGGTTTCACCTCATCTTTGTATTCCGGGGCCCAGCTTGGTACCCAAAGACCGTTTGTGGAGCTCATGAAATGCTCCCCCAGGCCGGGCACGGTGGCTCACGCCTGTAATCCCAGCACTTTGGGAGGCCAAGGCTGGCGGATCACTTGAGGTCAGATATTTGAGACCGGCCTGGCCAACATGGTGAAACCCTGTCTCTACCAAAAATACAAAAATTAGCAGGGCGTGGTGGCGAACACCTGTAGTCCCAGCCACTCTGGAGGTTGAGGTAGAAGAATCGCTTTAACCCGCTGGCAGAGGTTGCAGTGAGCCAAGATCGCACCACTGCACTCCAACCGGGGCAACAGAGCGAGACAACGTCGTCTCAAAAAAAAAAAAAAAAAAAAAGCTCCCAGTTCTAGACGCTTTGGGAGCCGCCGCTTAAGATGCAAACATGGCCAAGTCTAAGAACCACACCATGGCCGGGCGCGGTGGCTCAAGCCTGTAATCCCAGCACTTTGGGAGGCCGAGACGGGCGGATCACGAGGTCAGGAGATCGAGACCATCCTGGAGAACACGGTGAAACCCCGTCTCTACTAAAAATACAAAAAAAAAACTAGCCGGGCGAGGTGGCGGGCGCCTGTAGTCCCAGCTACTCGGGAGGCTGAGGCAGGAGAATGGCGTAAACCCGGGAGGCGGAGCTTGCAGTGAGCTGAGATCCGGCCACTGCACTCCAGCCTGGGCGACAGAGCCAGACTCCGTCTAAAAAAAAAAAAAAAAAAAAAAAGAACCACACCACACCCAACCAGTGCCGAAAATGGCACAGAAATGGTATCAAGAAACTCAGATCACAAAGATACGAATCTCTTAAAGGGGGTGGACCCCAAGTTCCTGAGGAACATGCGCTTTGCCAAGAAGCACAACACTGCCCACTCCAAGCTTGGGAAGCGTGCTCGTGCCCGCCTTGCCTAGGGGCTCAGGCTGTGCCGGCCAAAGGCCGAGGCCAAGGATCAAACCAAGGCCCGGGCTGCAGCTCCAGCTTCAGTTCCAGCTCAGGCTCCCAAAGGTGCCCGAGCCCCTACAAAGGCTAAAGAGTAGATATTTCTGTCTACCAACGTGAGGACAGGAGGACTGGAGCGACCCCCCCTCCACCCGGCTGCCGTCTGTATGGGGTGGGGTCCTCCTGTGTTATTTGTACTAAGAAACCTGAGGCAGGGAAAGAAAAAAAAACAAACAACCTCCCCTAGTCCCACCTTGCGAATGCGGGACGCGGGGCCCTGTCCCGCGAGTGGCACTCAGGAGCCAGCCTCGGGCAGGCACCGCACGCCAGGCCACAGCTCGACGCGGCCGGGGATTCGCTGCAGGCGCGAATCTCTCGGCTAGAGCAGAGCAGCGGCAGCTGCGGGCCAGCCCACCTGTGCTCGGCTCGGCTCGGTTCCGGCTCCCAGGCAGCCCGGGGGTCGCTCACCCGGCCGTGAGGAACCCCAGCAAGCCGGCCTTAGCATAGGCTGGGCCACAAGCGCCCGACCACTTCTACGGCTGAGGCGCCAGGCGCGTGCCTACTGCAGGGCTGCCCGGGCCGCGCCGCATTCCTCATTGGACGATGGCCCTTGTCAATCACTGAGGAAATGCGACCTTGGGTGTGGCCGGACATCCGGGGCTTTCCACCCTCCGCGTGAGGTGGGATTGAGGTGGGGAAGATGGAAGGATGCGATACCCAATGGCCACAAATCAAGGCCTTTGGCTTCGCGGCAGATTGGCAGGTGCTTGAACCACTGAAATGCCGCAGAGCGACACCGGCGCTATGGCTGTGATTGGTTCACTTCGCGGGTGGGTGGTTTTCTCCTTGTGGTGGTCCCCACAGTAGATAAAATGGGCACCGTAGATAAAATAACACGTAAGTAAAGCTGCTGCCGGTGAGGTTTGGGAGTATTTTTGCTTTTTTGAAAGTTAGTATTTTGGCTCTCACAAAGCCTCCTGATTTTAGTAGGCTTTCCCTGGAATGACTCAGATTCTCTTTCGTTACCTTCGTCAAAGCACTCCCTCCCCGTGCAGCGTCAGGGTTGGAGAACTACCGCGCTGAGCCCAGATTACCGCCAAAATCGTCGGAAATGTGCGCAACTCAGTGAGCTAAAGCGGAGATTAGATGGATGGTATTTAATGGGACAAGACATGAGTGGACAGTTTACAGGAAAAAAAATGCAAGGGGCCCCTAAACATTTAAGTGGGCGCTCAGCCTTTTTCATAGTCAGAAGAACGCAAACGAACACCTCACTGAGGCCGGGCGCGGTGGCTCACGCCTGTAATCCCAGCACTTTGGGAGGCCAAGGCGGGCGGATCACGAGGTCAGCAGATCGAGACCAGCCTGGCTAACACAGTGAAACCCCGTCTCTACTAAAAATACAAGAAATTAGCCGGGCGAGGTATTCGGCGCCTGTAGTCCCAGCTACTGGGGGGCTGAAGCAGGAGACTGGCGGGAACCCGGGAGGCGGAGCTTGCAGTGAGCTGAGATCCGGCCACTGCTCTCCAGCCTGGGCAACAGAGCAAGACTCTGTCTCAAAAAAAAAAAAAAAAAAAAAAAAGAAAGAAAAAAAAGAAACAAAACTTCATTGAGCTAAGGCTTCTGATCCATTAGATTGTCAAAAATCCAAAAGTTTAACAAAGTACCACTGTTAAGGACAATACAGAAACTTGATCGGCCCTGCATTGCTGGGAGGGAGTGCAAATTTACCTTTGACCCGCAATCCACCTGTAGAATCTACTCTGAAAGTAAACTTACACAAACATGAAACAGCATACGCGCAAGCTTTTATTTGTAGCAGCACTATATAAATTTGCAAGACTGGAAACCATGCAGATGTCCACGAGAGGGGGAATGGCTGAGTAAACTGGTACATCCGGGCTGGTACTACAGCCCAGCTGACTCTGTGGCGTTAAGAAAAATGAAAACGACAATATTTTCTATGGCGTGATCTGTCGGCAGAGATGATGTATATTGGCTGCTACCGTTAGCAAGAAGCAGCACTGAAACAATAAAACCAAAACTGATAAAAATGATAGTGTAAATGATGGAGAATCTGGTGGAAGCCCTAGAGGGTTTCCACCAATAGAAAAATAAGGTGATAATAATAATAGTAAAAAATATCTGTGGCAATAGGAATTTGTCAGGTTTCCTGTTCTGGAACCCAGCACTAGACCTGGAAAGGCATGTCTGGCTGGGTGGGACTCAAGTTACTTTATAACTGGAGGCCCTGCTATAGCCTGAGTGAAGGATTTCTGGTACCCTGCCCCTCTCCAAAAAGACATCTCTTTGGGAACTCTAGAACTGGAATGGTCCATCAGCACTGTCTTTTTGGCAGACAAGGCAGGCCTTTGTACCCCACCAGTGACTTGGTTTGGTGGGCTGCCCCCAGAACAGGATGTAATCTTGGGCAAGGCAGCTGCTATCAGGCTAGGCACAACCTCCCCCTCCAGGCTGTGAGGAGGGAAGAAAGGAAACAACTTCTACCTGCTTTAAAGTAGGAAACCTCCTCATCTGCCACCTCTCCTGCAGTGAGAAGTAGAGACTAGACATGGATACTCCCACATAGGATACTGGGGCCTAATGGGTGACTGTGGGCCTCCACCAGGCCCAGGTGACCCTGCAGATGTGATTCAGAGGCAGCCTCTCGCTGCTGTTCTTCAGCAGCCTGATTCCATGTGGACCATGCTGTTGCCTTCAGAAGTCATGGTCTGCCTGGACCTAGCCAGGCTGTACTGTTGAAGCCTTGTCATGTGCTCTTCCTTCCAGGCCCAGAGAGCTGCCCAGTAGGTCAACTTGGGCTTTGTATCAGGCTCTAAGTACAGGCAGGTCCTTAGGATAAATTAGAATAAAACAATCTCAGAGTGATCTAGTCTTAGTATAATTATTTACGTTTTCAAATTGAAAAAAATAAAAAAAAAAAAGAAAACCATTAACAAATCAGCCACAGCAGAGAGGGGTACTGGGGGTTGATAGAAAATTTGTCCTCAGTTGTAGGTTTACTCGTAAAGCAGCTTAGATTGCGTGTTTTCTTCAGGGTCATTGGAAAAGGTGGTTACTGTCAGTCCAGGAAGTGGGGAGCCAGCTAATTGTATCCAGATGGAGGTACAATGGACACTTTGAGGGAAGGAGGCCCTGAAAAGTCTCTAGCAAGCAGGCTTTGGTAAACAGAACTGCAGATACTGATGAGTGACAGGCCACTGCTATTTGTGTCATGTCGGCAGAGGCCAGCGTGGGGCAGAGTTCTCAGCAGAGTGATGGAGGGAGGGCGGGGGAGAGATGTAAAGGCTTTGAGACTGGTTCCCATCACTGGAAAGAAGCTCTGGCTACCTGAATGTTTTAGGTTCTCTCAGCCCCCGCACCCGGAGAGAGTTCCACTGGGATTGGCTTCTGTAGGCCTCTGTGGTTCTAGGTTCTTGGTGGCAGTGACGTACATACTGGTGATTCTCTGACGTGACTGCCAGGTAGACATCTTTCCCTCGGTGTTTGCGCTCTTTCTCCCACCCTGCTGTTTCTTTCTGCCCTCCTTTATGCTTTTTAGCTTAGATTTGGTTCATTCTCTGAACTGAATCTCTGTGAGCTGATGAGAGCAATCTCAGATGAGGTGGCAGAAATGGTGTCAACAGAGGCCAGCACTTATGGGGAATAGACAAGAGCCACCCAACACCATAGCAAACCAGCAGTGTTTCCATGAAGTGTCCACGGCCAGGGGTGGGGCCTGGGCAGTAGACACCTACCACCGAGGAAGAGGAGGATGCTGAGCACTTCAGACACTGGCTTCCGAGTGCCCACCAAGCCCTGTCCTGGACCTCATAGGAAACTGAGGTGGAACAGGTGTCTCCCCAACACCCATGCTCCCTTTTATCACAGATCCCCAATGAAATGCAGTTACCTTCTCCTCCAGATGGTCATTTGTTCAGGGGATGCTGGGCTAATTTTTGTATTTTTAGTAGAGACAGGGTTTCGCCATATTGGCCAGGCTGGTCTTGAACTCCTGACCTCAAGTGAACAAAGAATTCTTAAATCATAACATGGTTAAATGCTTTTGACAAAACACATTAAAACAATTTCAAGAAGGAAAAAAGCATTCACCACAAAAGACAAACACTCATATTTGGATCCAACAACAGACACAGAGAGTGAATGGTCAGCAAAGAAGCAAAAGGGTGGAACAGAGAGGGGCTTCTGAAAAGCCCCTGGCAGGCAAGAGGTGATGGCGGGAAGTTAACCTTGTAATGGTGAGCATGAGGCATGGAAATGCCACTGCTCCACTTTTTTTCATGTAGTGTGTTGATTGAGCTTTCTTTCAGCAAACAAAAACTATTGCTAAGAACTTGCATAGGTTCTGTCTTTAGCATACCCTCCCTAACTCAGTTTGCTGAAGAACTGTGAATTGTTCTGCCAGTGGGGTGATCAGAAATGGGACCTGCATGGTGTGAAGGACCAGTTATCCCCATCATTGTATGTTCACTCATGAAGATGGAACAATCCCCTCCAGTGTCACAGGCACTGTTCTGTAAGATCACTTTGGCATTTTATTGAGTGCTTTCTGGTGACATCTCTTTCCCTGCACACGGGCTTTTCTTCCCTAAAGGCCTTTAACCTGCTGAAAGGTAAGGACCAGGTGGGGTGTTTTATTTCTTCTGTCTACAGTGTCTAGCATAGTTCTAATGAAATATAATTAGGCAAGTACTCAAATAAGTCTTGCCTAATTATATTTAAAGTAAGTATTCTGCTTAAGTGAGAGAAATTCTTGGCAGATCTTACCTCTAGTACCATTGTTTAGTGCCAGGATGAAAGGTGAGTCTCTGAATTAGGCTTTTTGCTAAAAGAGCCCTCCTGGCTGGGCACAGTGGCTCACACCTGTAATCCTAGCACTTTGGGAGGCCGAGGCAGGTGGATCACCTGAGGTCAGGAGTTCGAGACCAGCCTGGCCAACATGGTGAAACTCTATCTCTACTAAAAATACAAAAATTAGCTGGGTGTGGTGGCGCATGCCTGTAATCCCAGCTACTAGGAAGGCTGAGGCAGGAGAATCGCTTGAACCCAGAAGGTGAAGCATTCAAGCAGTGACCAGGCACCAGAGTGAGACTCTGTCTCAAAAAAGAAAAGAAAAGAACACTTTTCTTTAGCTGAGTGTGGTGGTACACACCTGTAGTCCCAGTCACTCAGGCCGAGGCAGGAGGATTTTGTGGGCCTGGGAGGTCAAAGCTGCAGTGAGTCATGATGGCACCACTGCACTCCAGCCTGGGTGACAGAATGAGACCTTGTCTCTTAAAAAAAAAAAAAAAAAAAAAATTAAGAATGCTCCCCCACAGCTTGCTTCCCTACAATTACAGAAGCTTCCAGAAATCCTCATAAGGCAGAATAAGAGTGTAGTTATTGGCTGGCCAAGGTGACTCATGCCTGTAATCCCAACACTTTGGGAGGCCAAGGCGGGCGGATCACCTGAGGTCAGGAGTTTGAGACCAGCCTGGCCAACATGGCGAAACCCTGTCTCTACTAGAAATACAAAATTAGCTTGGCGTAGTGGTACATGCCTGTAATCCCAGCTACTGGGGAGGCTGAGGCAGGAGAATCGCCTGAATCTGGGAGGTGGAGATTGCAGTGAGCTGAGATCACGCCATTGCACTCCAGCCTGGGCAACAGAGTGAGACCCCATCTCAAACAAACAAAAAAAGATTTGGATCAAGAGAGGGTCTCAGAGCCCCATAACAGCTGGAACCTCACCAGCAAGCAGAAGCCAGAGGGATCAGGGACTTTGTCCTCTGAGAAAACAGTTTTGATTCCTGTAAAGTAATATACACATTGCAAGAACTGGGCAAGTACGTATAGAATGTACGCCTGCATCTATGTTTATAAGGGCAAATTAGGCCTACAGAAGTCTGGAAAGAACAAGGGCGTGGGGCAGGGGTGGGGACAGCGTCAGGCATGGCCACTGTGCATCCCGTGGGCGCAGTCTACATGTCGTAGAGCCGGAGCTGCTCCTGCACGTCGCCGTCGGACATCTCGCCAAACGTCTCCTTGTTGTCTTTCATGAGCTTGAAGATGGCAGCCAGCTGTTCCTTCTGAACTCTGTCGAGAAGAAAGGACAAAGAGGAAGAAGGTGCTCCTAGCCCACTGGGGAGAGAGACAGCCTGTGTGCAGCTGGCGGAATTGGGACTCTCCTCTCTCCTGTGTGGCTGTGGTTGCTTTTCAGAAGAAGAAGAAAACGAAAATAAATAAAACCCGCTTAGAACATAGGAGCTGGTTGGGTCTGACACACGCAACTTTTGAGGGCTCTAAAAGCTGGGATGCGAAATCTCAGGTTTGCCGGGGAGGTTTGGGGACCCCAGGTATCACTTAGGTGCTCTGTGCCTCAGTTTCCCTTTGGGCCTCATTTGATTGTTGACTGCACATCCAACAGTGACGTAATGAGGAAGAAGATAGGCTCCATGAAGCGGCTTGAGGTAGTACTATGAAGAAGTAGGTTAGAAACAGCCTTCTTTGAGAGGAATGAGCCGGAAGTGGAGAAAGAAAAAACATCAGCTGGGAAATCAGGGAGCATACAGATGTGTGCAAGACGGTGCTTGGCAAAGGAGCGAGGAGGGCAGCCTGTGGGGTTTCACTGCCCAGAGAAAGGGGGGTGCCTTTTCCTAATCTGCACAAGGACACCCTATGGCAGGTGGCGGCCCTGCCCCTTTTACCAAGGGATGGGTATGGAGGAAGACTGGCCTAAATGTTTGTGCTGGGAGCAATGTCTTGTTATCTTTATGAGGCTCAGCTACACCATCTGACCAGCACAGGACAACTCCCGCAGCACAAACACCTCAGGTGGGGCGAGGCGGCTGCCAAACCCAGGGAGCCGTATGTTTGTTGTTTGTTCTGCTCTGGTGCCCTGTGCTCCTCAGCCCAGCTGGGCACTGCATGTTGGCTGCATCTCACTCTTCTGGTTTCTGGAGTTCCTGCCCTCCACACCACACCACGGGCTCAGTGCCTTCAGAGAACGTAAACCACATTGCAGCATTGGACCTCTCAGCCCCACCCTGCAGCTGGGTCAGCTATAAGCACGTTACAGGCTCTGCAACTGCAGGACCTCAGCATAGCCCTGGGCCACTGGCATCCCCAACGCTGCCTGGAGGGGTGGTCTCCACATTCGCTCCCATACTTTTGCTACCATATTCCTTCTGCTTCACCCTTCCCTCCTCTCCTCACCATGCATCTTCCATCCTGCAGAGGTTTCTGTCTAGAGCAGCATCTAGCAGTTGAAATACTGAAGCCCCACTTCCCAGCCTCCCTTGTCCTCTGGGAAAGTTGTGTCTACAGTTGGTTGCCCTGTCTGAGAAGCAGCAGCCTATGATGTGTGCTTTGTGCCTCCTGTAAGGAAGAGGGTCAGGTGCAGTGGCTCATGCCTGTAATCCTGGCACTTTAGAAGGCCAAGATGGGAAGATCACTTGAGCCCAGGAGTTTGAGACCAGCCTGGGCAACATAGTCAGACCCTGTCTCTAATTAGCCAGGTGTGGTGGTGAGCACCTGTAGTCCCAGCTACCTGGGAGGCTGAGACGGGAGGATCACTTAAGCCCAGGAGGTCAAGGCCACAGTGAGCTCTGTGACTGCACCACTGCATTCCAGCTTGGGCGACAGATGGAGGCCCTGTCTCAAGAAGAAAGAGGAATTCCTGTGAAGAGAAAGGGTGCGCCGAGCTCTGTGATGCAAGCACAATCCACATGTCCCTGAGTGAACACAGATCATGTCACGTGGTTTAGACAGCTGTGGTGACTGCGTATTTTTGGCAGGGTGGATGGATGGCTTTGTCCTCTGCTGCAGAGTACGAGGCATCACAATGAAAGACAGGTCAAACTTTAATGGGTTCCAAAGGGTTTTTTTTTTTTTTTTTTAAACAAAGCAAACTGAAAAAACACACAGTAATTGAGATCATCTACTCAAAGTTTATTGGACTGAACAAAGGCTGAATACAGAGATCCAAGCCATCAGGAGTACATGAGGTGTGGTGCCTATAAGCCATGGTGGGAAATTTTCCAGACAAACCTAGATAGCTCTACTGAGAGGGAGTCAACGACCTATTGTATCAATTAGATCCCAGCCTGGACAAGGGCATGACTATTGCTGTTTGGGGACACAGAAGTACATCCATTCACCCCGTGGCTCTGTGTTGAAGGCAATGACTATGTGGCTGTTGCCATGTGGCCTGTTCTCCCCTAAGCCCTGAACCAAAGGTTTCAGGCTGAGATGGAGAAAGCCACCGGGAATGCATGCCATAGGGGCTGATGCTGGACATTCCCCAGCCTTCCATTAAATGAAAACATTTTCTATAAACTTACTGCTTTAAAAAAATGTTTTAACCAACAAACCTAAGAACTGCAAATGAGTTTGGTATAGTATAAATACTGTCAAATATAAAATTCCAAGAAACGAATCTGAGACTGATCTGATGATCTGAAGTTCCAACTAATCTATCAACCTTTCTAAGAAAAGGCATAGTCAAGAAATCTTTTTAAAGCAACATTATTGCTTCTGCTATAGCAGAGTGGAGATCTGGCTGAGCTGGTAAGAACGTCAGTGAAAAGGTGTCTTAGCAATAAATGGGCTGAATCCAAGATTTCTCTAGATGAAAAGTAAGGGGAATGGTCAAGTCAATTCCTGGTACTGGTTCTTTGCTGCCTTCTAATCAATATGGCATCTCACCCCCAACAACCAAGCTAGCCAGAGAGAGAGGTGGGGTTCCCAGGGAAAGGGGTCGGCTGACCACTCTGACAGAGCTGGTGAGCACAGGTGAGCCCTACCTCATTTGTCTCTCATTCCTCAAAGTCTTTTGTGGTTTGGCTTCAGTGAGGACAAAATGGGGGCACTGGAGTGAAAGTGAACTCTGCTTTTTAAATGTTTGTTTTATCTAAGGTGTGCAGGGTGTGTGGATAGCAAGTTTGAGTGGTAAGAAAAATCCCAGTCCAGGGTCTGAGCTCAAACTCTTAAAACGCTTCAGCTTAACAAAGTGACCCACAGAAATGGACATGAACATCTCGCTACAGGGCAGGGCCAAAGGTGTTCCCAGGATCCTGCTAGCCAAGGGACAAGTCCTGATTGAGGGTCTAGAGCTCAGCAGATTTACGAAGGCAGCATGCACCCTGGGAGCCTGCCAGACTCCTCTCTGGGGTTTCCATTTTATCTCTCAAGCTTTTAAGATGCCAAAAGGAAAAGCCTTTGGGAGGACGCTAAGGATAACTTCGTTATTCTTCAGTTCTGTAAAGAGAAATGGGGAGAAAAAGATAATTTATTTTACTCATTCCATCCTGCACCATGGACGAGGAAAGGGGGAAATGGGGACGAGGAAGGAGAATGTTTGGAATTGCAGAAGCTGCGCTAGACTCTGGTGTCTCAAACCACTGCTGATTTGCTTCTCATCGCTTGCGGCAAGACAGTCTGTGCCACAAAGCTGGCCAGAGCTCGCAGAGCTCCCCTTGATCCCGCACAGAACCTTGCAGCCCACAGACCTGTTCAGCCTCTGCAGGGTACTTAAGGAAGGAACTGGAGCAGTTGAGTTGCCAAGGGCCTTTCTGATCTTGGGTTGTGTGGCTGTGCTGACAATATTCCTATCACCCTAGATAATTTCCCATTCCCGCTGGCTGAGTTTTGTCCCCTCGGGGGATATTGGCACCCTAGGATGCACGCTTCCAGATGGAGCCAACAGTGTGCCCATCTTTTATGAACCAAGACACATCGCCAGCCCTGAGACCACTGAGAAAGCAGCAGGTCTGATCTTGTCCCTCTGGCGCCCTCTCCTGGTGGTCACAGTCAGCACGCATTTCCAGCCTGAGCTGGAAATTCACACTCTCTGGTCTATTGTTTCTGTCGTTTCTTGCATACATCAGATAGAAGAACCAGAACTACCCCACAGCTGTGGTTCCTTGGCCTCTTCCTCTCCTTCCCTGTTTTATCACACTATCACCTTCCTCTAGAGTCATGTCCATTGCCAGAGGAGTCAAAACAGCCCTGCAGACCTCAAATGGAGGGGTGGGTCCTGATCTATCAGAGTCAGTATAGTCTACAGCCTGGGTTCCTTTTCCCTCTGAGACCAGAAGGTGGGAAGAAGTGATGGAGAGGAGCTGACAGCCGTGCCTTTTCTCTCTCCTGCCAAGCTGCGAAGCCAGCCAAGCCCTGCCAGCCTCCCTAGCTCTGGGGGAGGAGGAGGAGGAGGCCTCTTGCTCAGGGGAGCTGTCACCAGCCTGCAAGCCCACTGTCCTAGCCACACTGTGAAACTGGAGGTGGCACCTCCCACAGCAGCTTCAGCAGAACCCAGGGACGCCACCAGAGGCATGAAGTGTGTGAACCTCCGGCCCGAGGGGAGAGCAGAGAAGGCCGGCAGACGCGGCAAGAGGGATCTTAAGCAGCAGCCGCCTCTGGATTTACAGACCTGACTGCTTTCTGGCCCCAGGCGGAAGGAATTTGATCTGTGAGTAGTTCAAGGATGAGACTGCCCACTTCAGCATGTGGTGGAACTAATTTGGGACCTCCTGCTTCCAGTCCCCCTTCCTAATTGTCATGAAAGCCTGTGAATTGAGGCTCCTGGGGAGTGTTGGAACCGGCAACCACTAAAGCTTCAGGTTCTAGATGCGATCTGTTGGCTGAGTCGGTAAATTTAAAGTCAGGGGACATGTAGCTTTTAGTTGCAACTCGATTGTGGACCCTGAGAGCTGGGAAAGGCATCAGAGGCACGGAGGGCCTCTGGGAGGGTAGAACCTGACGGGTGGAGAGACAGCACCCTGCTAGCTGGCCTGTGGTTTTAGTGGTTTGATAATAACAGGCATGTTATTTTTCATACTGATGATCTAGGGCGGTTCCCTGGACTCGGCTGGGACCGGAACTGTCTTCACAGCTGCCAGCGCTCCCCATCCCCATGAGAACCACCATGCTGAAGATGAAAAGCCAAAGCCAAACTGACCAGCCTCTGCAACCCCAAGCATCACCGTGTGAGGGCAGCGTGGTGTGGAGCCGTGGGGACCCCACGCAGTGCTGCGAGGGGCGACCACATGCAGGGAGCAGAGGTGTGAGGGAGCAAGCAGATGCCACCAGCATGCCTGGGAGCCACAGGGAGCATGCGGGCTGGGCAGTGATGGGAATGAACGTGAACTCCAGTCCTGCCCCAAGAAGTCCTCCGGCCCCTCCTTCTCAATTCAGGGCACAAAGTGGTAACTGCAGCGTGCAGAGGAGTCCCTCGTCCCAGGAACAGCACCTCAGGCACAGTCTCGATCCCATGGAACAGCCAAGTGTGGGTTGGTGGTCTAGAGACCTCCGAAGATCCAGCGGGGAGGGATGGGCAGCACAGGGTCTACTCTCTGAAAATAAGGGGAAGGGATTTTCCCTCCCCACTGCCAAGGTCCCAGCTCGGGACGTGGGTGGTAGTGGCAGTTTCACCCCTAGCCTGAGGCCTGGTCTCTCTTGTTCTAAGAGGCCCTCCAGATCCATCTGCCTGAGCAGCCTCTGTCCCCAGGGACTTTCAAGGGCTGGCAGTTGTGTCCAGCCCCCTCTAGCCTCTGTCCAAGGACTGCAACCTTTTTCTGCAAAGAGCCAGATACTATTTCGATTTGGGGGAGTGTGTGGTCTCTGCTGCAGTGACTCACCTCGGCCACTGTGGCACAAAGGGGCACAGACCACAGGAAAATGGGTGTTGCTGTTCCTGCCACGCTGGGTTGACACAGGCAGGTGGGGGATCAGATGTGGCCCGGCTGTCGTCTGCTAATCCTTGCCCTGATCATAAGAACCTGCCTGTCTCACAGCTTGGGATCATGGACCGCTGTCAGGATATCTGCTGTGCACTGTGCAGAAGCTGCCTCACCCTCTCAGGGTGAGACCCAAGGCTGCAGGGTGACGACATCCACATTCCTGAAGCCTGAGGTCCTAGGGTGACAGTTCTCCCAGCCTTGCAAGGGGGCACTAGCACCCCAACCCACTGGCCCATTAGGCCGCCTCTAGGAACTCAGGGACTTAACTCCCCTCCAGGAACCTCTGTCCCCACACGGGGCCTTTTCTGCCAGTGATTCCTCGTGCTTGAGAAGAATGAGAAGGGCTCAGGTGGGAAATGTATTAATCGGTTATGAAGGCGATGGAGGAGGGGAGGTTGAGGCCGCGTCAGTTGTGTTGGGGGCACGTTAGCACGCAGTAGGAGGGGAGCGCCACTAGTCTAAGAAATCAGTGTCCTTACCAAAAGGATTTGCAAGAATATTTGTGGCTCAGGACCTAAGGAACTTGCTACAGGGAAGTGAGGTCAGAGGTCAGCTCAATCCTGAAATATAAATGCAGCAAACCTGGTCATGCCAAGAGGCAGCATCCTCAGCACCTGAGGACTTGGGGCTCCTGCCAGGGCTCTTCCTCCTGGCTGTGCTTACACTGCCCGCCCCCCACCCAGCCAGGGTGAAGAGCCTTCCTGCTGAGGGTCGAGGGAGCTGATGCCAGCACCGGGAGGGGAGACAGGGCCTGTCACCAGCAGAGCAGCTCTGAGGTTAGAGGGCTGCCTGGTGGGTGGCCTCGCACGCAGTCATGAAAGGGCGGTTGAGTTCTGACTCCAAAATCATAAACCTCCCCTTCCGCTCAGACCCTAGACTGCTGGCTTCTGCTGACAAGTAGGGGGTGACTCCGATGAGTTGCTCTGGGTCACCAGGCTTGGAAAGTGGCACAGCTACCACCTAGGACTCCAGGCCATGCTGCAGAAGGGCAGCAATGTGGGTGAGCACCAGGAGCCTGCTGGGCCTGGTGCAAACAACTGTCCCTCTGCAAATGCCTGTCTGTCTGCCGAGGCCTCCCCAGCTGTCCCACCGCACCTAGCACACCCCTTCCCCACCCGGCAGGATGGAGTGGAGGGAAAATGTGGAGGGGAGCCCAGTGGGTGTGCAGGGGGTGTCCAGATGGGAAGGGGGAGCCAGTTCCAACAACGAGAAGCCACAGCTGCACCGCCCGGAGCGACAAGGCGCTGCTGCAGGCGCCAGCCTGGGAGGCCGCTGAATGATGGGGACCAAGAACCCGCTGTGTCCCGAAGGAGAAATCAAGAAATCAGCTCTGCTGGGGACTCTGTGTGTGAGTGGCAGCCAAGTCTGCTCCAGGCTCTTTCCTGGCATCTGATTTCTTTAGACGGGAGCAGTGGGGTGTGGAGGGGGCGGGGGGTTCAGTAAATGGGCTCTGTGTCCCCCATCACCAGTGACTTTCTCCTGGTCAGTGCCAGGGAGGGGTTCCAGGGGCGCACGAACCTGGCTGAGCAGGGCAGGAAAGAACTAAACTGGGAAGGTGGGGCAGTGGTTGGGCAGAGTTTGTAGGAGCCCCACCTCCTTTCTGCACCCTTCTGCCAAGAGGCAGAACATGAAGGGCTCAGAGGGGCACCCCCCTCCCCTAAGAGCCCGCCAGGCACCAGCAAAGGGGCTGCAGCCTACCTCTGCTCCTCCTCCAGCTCTTCTTTGGTCATCATCTTCTTGTACTGGTTTCCCCTCAGCTTCCCGGGGCTGTATTTGAAGGAGAAGCCTTCTTCTGTGGAGAGGGGACCCAGTCAGTGCCAGGGAGTGCTGTAGAGGCTGAGCCCCCGCAAACCCTGGCCCCCTTTCCCTAGGTTTAAAAAGGAAGACCTCAGGCAGAGGCTGCATCCGGCTGTCAGAGACATCTTCTCACCCCAGCGCCTATACCCCCTCTCACTCCATAGCTTTCCCTTAAATCGTACAGCGAGACAGCCAGAGAGAAAGCGGTCCCGCTCCTGGTCCACGGCTGTCTCCAGACACTGCGTCCCTCCCGGCATCTGCAGTGCTCCGCCTGCCCTGGCCCTGCCCAGCGGGTCCTCTCAGCTACTGAGCTCACAGGCAACAGTTCCGGCAAGCAGAGCACAGCTCATCTCGGAACACACACCGCGCTTGCCTGGGTGTGGGGAGGCTTGTGTCATCCCCCCACCCCGTGTCTATTGGAAATCAGAAAACACGCATCCAGGCAGCCCACAGTGGCCAGGCCAGGGATGCGGGATTTGCCACGGCGGGTTTGACTTGTGTACTGCTGAAGAGGCGGAGCCTGATTTGCCAGTCCCTGAGGGCAGACACCCCATCGCTGCCTGCAAAAAAGAGACAGATCTTGAGGCCTGAAGAGGGCACATAGACGGGTAGGTGGTGGGCACAGAGGAAGCCGGGACCTGTGGCCTGGAGTGGACACAGGCTCCGAGCACATGGGCCATGGTGAGGAGAGAAAAGCTGACCTCCCAGAAGGAAAAGCCTCGTGGGGGAGCAATCTCTTGGTTCCTGAATCCACAAGTATCGGGCAGAGCTGCCTGGCCTCTTATCGACCTCCACTAACTAAAGGACCCAGTGAGGGAGGTATAGAGAGCTCCTCAGCTGCTATTCTGGAAGTGCTGCCCTCTCTGTCCCTCCACATCCTGTCCAATAGCCCAAAAAGCCAGGCCCCTCCCCTCTAGCTTGCAGCCCTCATGCTACCAGATAGGCTGATGCAGACCGATGGGGAGACGAAGGGCTCTCAGGGTGAGAGGAAGAAGGTTCTAGATGTGAATTCAGAACCCAAACATCCGGCTAGGTGCACTGGCTCACGCCTGTAATCCCAGCACTTTGGGAGGCCGAGGCAGGTGGATCATTTGAGGCTAGGAATTCAAGAGCAGCCTGGGCAACATGGTGAAACCCTGTCTCTTTTAAAAATACAAAAATTAGCTGGGCGTGGTGGTGCATGCCTGTAAGCCCAGCCACTCGGGAGGCTGAGGCAGGAGAACAGCTTGAACCTGGGAGGCGGAGGTTGCAGTGAGCCAAGATTGTGCCATTGCACTCCAGCCTGGGCAACAGAGTGAGACTCCAGTATCCCCCCAACACCCCTCCCAAAAAGAAAACATACAAAATCCTGCCAGCCCGGCCCCAGTCTTAGGTTTCAATTTACGGGGCAAGTCTGATTAGTTTTGTTTTCTGAGCCAGACAGAACAAACGGCTTGAAAAGGATTTCACTCAATCCCATGCAGTGCACCAGGCAGCACATCCAATTTTCCTAGGCCAGGAGGGTTCAATGTGACAGCCTCCGAGGACGGGGGAGGTTTCTTCCTCCAGTCTCCTGTGAATCCACCAGTCGCTCAGGGAAGTCATTTTAGCGACACTAATCAATTAGCCTCTGAGGCTGCCTTGCGCTGCAGAGGGGCTGGGGGCTGCTCACGCAGTCTTCCAACAGCTGGAGGCATAAACCTTTCCTTTCCCTGCCTTGCTAGAGATGGCGGGAGGCTAAGGTGGCAGGAGGCGCTGGGGGTGGGGGATGTGCAGGCGCAGCGGCGCAGATAAGGAGGGAGGCTGGTGACAGCCCTGGGGGGCTGGGCCCTCTGGCAGCTACGCCAGGGAGACGGGTCTGCGAGCCTCCCTCCCGTGTCCCCAAGTCACTAACAGGATCCCTGCATCCCTTCAGCTGTCTCGGGCCACGTGGCAGGGACAGATGCCAGGGCCACGGCTGCAGTGAGTCCCCCGTCCCCAAAAGCAGGGAGCAAGGGTCCTTCCTGGTAAGGGACTAATGTCCCCACCTGTAGTCCACCGCCTGCACCCAAGCTTCAGTCTCCCCTCCTGCTCCAGGCTGTGCTGATGAAACCAAGGCCCGGCCTCAGGGGAAGCTCTGCACCCCAGCCCAGCCTGCCCGAAGGAGCTGGTTCCTGCATTCCTGAAACTCTCTTTCCACTGCTCCTGCCAGCAGCCGACTTAAGGTCACAGCAACAGTCTTGCTTTTTTAAAATTATGAAATATTTCAAACATACAAAAATGCAGAAAGCACTAATCCTCCCTGTGCTTGCCATACAGAGGCAACAACAAACGCTGACATCTTGCATGTCTGCCTCCGCTTTCTTTTCTAGAGAAATCAGCGGACGGACCCAGCAGAAGCCACTCCGCGTTTTGTTCCGCCTCTGTATGTCCTGGCGGGGTCAGATCTGGCCGTGTCTCCCCTGTTCTCGGCCACTCCCTTTCTCCTCTCAGTCTCATGGCTGGGGCCTGTGGCCAGTCAGCCAGAGCTGCTCAGAAAGCAGGCGTGTCCCCTCCCGGGGCCTTCATTACGAAGAAGGCACGGGGGAGGCCGTGTGAGTGGTTTTCGTCTCAGTAAAATAGGTCAGAGATGTTTGGAGAGAATCGTGAAATGTACAGTGTGGTCACAAGAGGGGAGTTAGGAGGCAGCGTGGGACAGAGCCGGGCAGGGCGTGTAGTGTGTTCTCAAGAGGGGCCCCTGGGATGGGAAAGCCAAACCCCAAAGTCCAAGGGGGCGTGAGGGGGCCCCAAAGTCCAGGCAGGCCAGGGCAGGACATCCATGGTGCAACTCCACCTCTCAGTGCCCAACTCAGGCCACTGTCCCACCCCATCCCTCCCCCTGGCACTTGAACCCCAGCTCCTGGGATCCCCAGCAGAGCACAGGCCACCCCCGACACGGTCAGGCCCCGTCATGAGCACAGAGGTCCCACTCACCGTCCTCCTCCTCTGGCCCTGCTGATGATGGCCCCGTCTCACCATCCAAGTCCTGCTCCTCTTTCTGCAAGACAAGGACAGGGTCAGTGCCCTTGGCACAGACTGGGTGACGGGAAGTGGTGGGGGAGGGGCAGAAGGTAGGGGAGACAGAGGAGGGCCTCGAAGGTCCAGCCTGTCTGTGCCCTGCGGCAGTGCCTGCCCTGTGGTCGTGGTCAACCAGCAGGCGGGGGCTGTGCACAAATGATGGACCAAGGTAACTCGGCTCACAAATGCTGAGCTGAGGCATGTTCTTGACTGTGACCCCAAGCCCTCGGCCTTGGCCTTTCCCAGGTGGGTGCCTTTTGAGGCATCTGTGTGCCATTTGGAGAAGTGGGCCTGGGACTCCCACTGTGTCACTGTGGTGAGTAGACAAAGGGTGCAAGAGAAAAGCTGGCTGGGGTATCTGGGACCAGGGCCAGGCAGCATGGCCATCGAAGCCTCTGGCTTTGCTTCCTTCTATGTTGTTTTCCATCCCCAACTCTCTCAGTGTCCATGTTCCAAAACTGGAGCCCCACCTCTTCAGCCAGTTCTCTCCCACACAGAGACACAATAAACAGATGATCGGAGGAATGGCCCGGGATGGCCTTGGTGGAAGGAAGAAGTGACTTCAGCTTGCAGGAATGTCAGAGGATGAGAGCGACGTGCCGTGCCCATGGGCTCTGTGGGATTGAAGGTCGTGGGGAGGGGACACGGGGCCCCAGGAACTTCAACTTGGAAGCCCAGTGGGTAGATGTGGAAATGAATGAATGGGTAGCCCCAGCTGATCCATGGAGCCCAGCCAGCACTGGCAGCTCACAGGGAGGCTCCTGACAAAACATGGAGCTGTGCTGGGAGGCAAAGGTTTTACAAGCCCCATGGCGGGTCGGAAGTGGCAAACCCAGAGGGACCTTGAGCTCCTCTGAGTGACTTTTTGTTTATTTTTTGTTTTTTTCTGAGTTTTTTTTTGAGACAGAGTTTTGGCTCTTGTTGCCCAGGCTGGCGTGCAGTGGCGCGATCTCAGCTCACTGCAACCTCTGCCTCCTGGGTTTAAGTGATTCTCCTGCCTCAGCCTCCCGAGTAGCTGGGATTATGGGAGCCCGCCACCCAAGCCCTGCTAATTTTTTTGTGTTTTTAGTAGAGATGGCGTGTTGCCATGTTTGCCAGGCTGGTCTCGAACCTCTGACCTCAGGTGATTCACCTGCCTCAGTCGCCCAAAGTGTTGGGATTACAGGAGTGAGCCACTGTGCCTGGCTTGAGGGACTTTCTTGACTACACAAAATGCCACCTGGGGGGAGCTGCGCAGGTGACAGGGTCTCTTCCCCGTTTAGCAGTTTGTACACAGAGACTCAGTGCTGTCTATGGCGAAGTGGTGCTTGGGTGTCCTGACATTTCCCAAATTTTGCACAGCAAAGTATCTTTGTGGCTGAGGTTGGGGTAGGTAGGCCTCTTCAGAGGGCAGGAAGAGGAGCCACTCCATTTGACACAGCAAACTCACTTCTAGGGATCTGCTCCAGACTGGAGAAGTGTCCATCAGGATTTTTATATAATGACTCTGACAGCGTGCAGTTGAAAAGACAGAATTGGGGGCTGGGCACAGTGGCTCATGCCTGTAATCCCAGAACTTTGGGAGGCCGAGGTGGGTGGATCACCTGAGGTTGGGAGTTCGAGACCAGCCTGGCCAACATGGCAAAACCCTGTTTCTACTGAAAACACAAAAAAATTAGCCAGGTATTGTGGCAGATGCCTTTAATTCCAGCTACTCGGGAGGTTGAGGCAGGAGAATCACTTAAACCCAGGAGGCAGAGGTTGCAGGGAGCCGAGATTGTGCCATTGCACTCCAGTCTGGGTGACACAGCAAGACTCCATCTTAAAAAAAGGAAAAAAAAAAAAAAAAAAAAAAAAAGGAGGCGTTGATAGGTACTGATGTGAAAAGTGCATCAAGATACATTGAGGGAAAAATGCAAGCAGCAGTCCCACGTGAGCAGCACAGTCATCTTGCTGTAAGTGGCAAAGTGGAAGGGGATGCATGTGCTCGAAAATGCAGAGAAGAGGTTTGTTTTCTGGAAGGGCGCACGAGAAACCGTCAGCAGTGGCTACCTCTCGGGAGAGGAGAATGGGGGCAGCTTTTCCTTTCCATCTTATACATTTCAGTATAATTTGGACTTTCCATTAATATGCATGAATGACTGAATATATTTTTAAAATGCTAATGGCGTCTTTGGACAGTGAGATCCAAAGACCCCATTTTTTCTTTATTTTCTTATATATTCTAAAAAAGAGGGGGAAAAAAAAGAAAAAGTAAGAGGCCAGGTGTGGGGGCTCATGCCTGCAATCTCAGCACTCTGGGAGGCTCAGGTGGGAGGGCGGCTTGAGCCCAGAAGTTCGAGACCAGCCTGGCAACATAGTACGCACCTCGACTCTACTAAAAATTTAAAAATTAGCCGTGCATAGGTGGCACGCACCTGTGATCCCACCTACTCAGGAGGCAGAGGCAGAAGGATCACTTGGAAAAAAAAAGTAGAAAGAATGACCGTAACATCATATATACATATATATATATATTTGGTTTCTGCCCCCAGTTCTTGACACAGTTTTTATTTTGTCTGTTTGTCTTTTGAGACAGGGTCTTGCTCTGTCACCCAGACTGGAGTGCAGTGGTGCAATCACAGCTCACTGCAGTCTCGACCTCCAGGGCTCAGCGATCCTCCTGCCTCTGCCTCTGCCTCTGGAGTGGGATCACAGGTGCATGCTACCATGCCCAGCCCTGACACTGAGCTCCTAAATCCCTTGAATTTCCTAAGTTACAGGGGTGCTAGGAGCATGTTTTGTTCTAACATTTGGTTTTGATCTCAGTCCCTGGCACAGAGCTCCTAAATCCGTTGGAATTTCCTGGGTGATAGGAGTGTCTTTTGTTCTAATGAGGTGACTCCGGATGGGCTCCTGGGTGGGCTGATCACCAGAGAGATCAAGCTGCAATGAGAAGCTTGGAACTTTCAGCCCTGCCCCCACCCAGCTTCCTCCAGAGACTGGAGAGGAGCTGGAGACTGAGTTAAGAATCAATGACACCTATGTGATGAGGCCTCCGTCAACATCCCTATAGGGTTTGGAGAGCTTCCAGGCTGCTGAATGCATTCCTGTGCAAGGAGGATGGCATACCCCAACTCCATGAGGACAGAAGCTGCTGCATCCATTACCTACTGGACCTTACTCTACTTAGGTACCTCCATCTGGCTGTTCATCTGTAGCCTTTATCATTTCCTTTCTAATAAACCAGTTAACATAAGCGTTTCCCTGAGCTCTGTGGGATGCCATAGCAAGTACTGAACTTGAGGAGGGGTTCGTGGAACCCCTGAGTTGTAGCCAAGTAGGACCAAAGTGTGAGGAACGAGGGGACCTGATACGTGTGATGGGCCCCTGAAGTGGGGGGCAGTCTGTGGGACTGGGCCCTGACCTGTGGGGTCTGCCCTGATTCCGGGGAGTTAGGGTCAGGGTTGAAGTGGAGGATACACACTTGGCGTCTGGGTGGCTGGAGAATGCGCTGGTTGTAGGGGTGAGGCTGCCTGCATATTCGGTATCAGAAGTGAAGGGTTCTGTGGAGTGTTATGTGCATGGACAGAAAAACAGTTGGTTTTTCTCATGGTTGATGTCTTTCTTTAATGACTGACAAATAGCCACTGACCTATTCAGGGCAGGGCCCCAGAAATAAGCCCAATATCAAGAATAGACAGGAGGCCAGTTCTCCTATTATGTGCAAGGGACACAAAGATTAAATGATAAACAACAGCAACAATGAGCACAGTCCCTGCCTTATGGAGCTCGTGGTCCAGTAGGAAAGACAAACAAATAATTGCAATCCAGGGCGAGGAGTCCATGAGCCGGGGCAGATCTGTATCCCCAGAGGACCCGGTATCAGCTGGCGTGCCCAAGCCCTCCTGACCAGAGAGAGGCTGGTATACATTTAGATTTTGGGCCAGGCAGAGGGGCTCACACCTGTAATCACAGCACTTTGAGAGGCCAAGGCAGGAGGGTCACTGGGTCCCAAGAGGTTGAGGCTGTAGTAAGCCACGGGGGTGCCACTGCACTCCAGCCTGGGCATGAATGAGACCTTGTCTCGCGCGCGCGCGCACACACACACACACACACACACACACACACACACGAAACTGTACTTGTCTTTGGAAGTTTGATTTTTTTTTTCTTTTTTGAGATGGAGTTTTGCTCTTGCTGCCCAGGTTGGAGTGCAATGGTGCAATCTTGGCTCACTGCAACCTCCACCTCCCGGGTTCAAGCAATTCTCCAGCCTCAGCCTCCCGAGTAGCTGGGACTACAGGCATGTGCCACCACACCCGGTTAATTTTTGTATTTTTAGTAGAGATGGGGTTTCTCCATGTTGGTAAGGCTTGTCTTGAACTCCCGACCTCAGGTGATCCGCCCGTCTTGGCCTCCCAAAGTGCTGTGATTACAGGTGTGAGCCACCACACCCGGCCTGGAAGTCTGATTTTTAAAAAGCTGTGGTCGTGACCCATTGCTGGGTCAGGAAAGCAAATGAGAAGGCCTTACTAGTATTGTGGGGGGGGGGGGGGGGGGGGAAAGGGCTACCAAAGTCTTGGTGAAGTTTGAAGCTTTAATAACTTCAGAAGTATAGATGCTACAAATGTACAAAAAAATGACATTTGAAAGGTTATTTACATTTAAAATACCTTGATATTTCTTACTCAGATTCTTACAATACCCCCCCAGTGCGATACATGGCTCTAGTTGGTTTTCAAACTTCGAAAAACCTTTTACCGACTGTTGGTCAGCAACGAGAAAAGATAACACCTAGCCGGGCGCGGTGGCTCACGCCTGTAATCCCAGCACTTTGGGAGGCCGAGGCGGGCGGATCACAAGGTTAGGAGATCGAGACCATGGTGAAACCCCGTCTCTACTAAAAATAGAAAAAACTAGCCGGGCGCAGTGGCGGGCGCCTGTAGTCCCAGCTCCTCGGGAGGCTGAGGCAGGAGAATGGCGTGAACCCGGGAGGCGGAGCTTGCAGTGAGCCGAGAT